CAGGCGGGCACGGGAATAGTGTCCCCCAGAGCCGAGGCACAAGTGCCGTGGGAAGTCAGGCGGGCACGGGAATAGTGTCCCCCAGAGCCGAGGGCGCAAGTGCCGTGGGAAGTCAAGCGGGCACGGGAATAGTGTCCTCCAGAGCTGAGGGCACAAATTCCCTGGGAAGTCAGGCGGGCACGGGAATAGTGTCCTCCAGAGCCGAGGCACAAGTGCCGTGGGAAGTCAGGCGGGCACGGGAATAGTGTCCTCCAGAGCCGAGGGCGCAAGTGCCGTGGGAAGTCAGGCGGATGTTTCCAAAAGCAGTGAGAAAAAACTCATGGAAACTCAGATTTTGTTTAAAACTTAAGTTCACACCAGGTGGTTTAATGACAAAAACGCGTGAGCTTTTAAAGTCTTGGTTGAAGTTTTTAAAGTTATGGCCTGTTGCCTAAACTATTAGTTAAAAACGACTGCAGCTTGCTGTGGTGGCTCGCGCTTGTAAACCCAGCTGAAGCTAGAGGAGTACTAGGTCAGTCTCAGTTCTGAGACAACGTCTCCAGAATCCGACACGGGCCTGGAGAGATGGCGCAGTGGTTAAGGGCACTGGCTGCTCTTCCAGAGAACCTGGGTTCAATTCCCAGCACCCACGTAGCAGCTCACAATTGTCTATTACTTCAGTTCCAGGGGATCTGATACCTTCCCACCAATGCATATAGACTAAAGTTAACTTTTTTTTTTTTTAAGAAGAAAGAAATGTTCCACCCCTCTTGGCTTTCTTTCAAAAAAAAAAAAAAATCCGACATGAAAATGATTGGAAGGGTTTTTGTTTTTGTTTTTTTATTTTCCAAACACTGGCGCGTGGCACAGACCCCAGCAACTGTTTTCCTAGTTAAAGTTGGGAGCTGTAAGTAGGGTCACTCCCACCCTCCAGCCCCCACCCTGCCCTGTTAGAATGCCTAGGAAGCACCTCCACTCACTAGGCTGAGGCAGAAGGATGGTGAAGTTGAGGTCAGCCTGTTTTTCCTGTGGTTTGTTTTTTTTGTTGTTGTTTGTTTGTTGTTTGTTTTTGGTTTTTTGTTTGTTTGTTTGTTTTTGGTTTTTCGAGACAGGGTTTCTCTGTGTAGCTTTGTGCCTTTCCTGGAACTCACTCTGTAGACCAGGCTGGCCTCGAACCAACAAAGATCCACCTGCCTCTGCCTCCTGAGTGCTGGGATTAAAGGCGTGTGCCACCACCGCCCGGCCTGTTTTGTTTTTTAAAGTGAGGATGCAGGGAGAAAAAGTGGAATTTTCCAGGACAGATAGATAATGCTTTTATGGAAGGAAAACCCGGGAAAGTGGACACCACTGAGCCCAGAGCTTAGGGTCACATTCTAACCCTGATCCTGTCCTCTCAGCATTAAGCATTGGCACCTGTGGGGGAAGGCCGCATCTCAGGTCGACTTGCAGGTCAAGGTCTGGGTTCCCGGTGGGATAGTGCTGCCAGAATGCAGTGAGGAAGGGCTTGGGCCCAACCTGATGAGCCCAACACAAAGTGGAGACCTTGAAAGGATCATTTCTGAGACAGATTTTATATATCTCAAATACCACAGAAACACACATTTTAAAATATTAGAGGACTGGAGAGGTGCCTTAATGGTAGAACATTTGCCTAGTGTTCCCCAGGCCTTGGGTTTAATCCCAGTACCACGAAAATAAATAAATAAAAATATTAGAATGGGTAAAGGTAACAGCTCTATACCATGCCAAAGTCACTTAAAGTGCTAGACATTTAGGCCGGGCGTGGTGGCGCACGCCTTTAATCCCAGCACTTGGGAGGCAGAGGCAGGCGGATCTCTGTGAGTTCGAGGCCAGCCTGGGCTACCAAGTGAGCTCCAGGAAAGGCGCAAAGCTACACAGAGAAACCCTGTCTCGAAAAAAAAAACAAAAAAAAAAAAAAAAAAAAAGTGCTAGACATTTAGGATTAATAACATGTATATTTTATCACAGTTTTGGTATATGTGAGTAGCATATATATGTGTATGTATATATATGTATGTATGTATATATATATGTATGTGTGTGTACATGTACATATATATGTATGTATATGTATATATGTCCAGTAAAAAGAAAAGGTAAAATAGCAACTGGTTTTATTTTACTTATGTTGGTTTTGAAGATAGAGTGTTACCTCCAGTTCAAAGGCAAAATGGAAAAGTCCATATGTCCCTTTAGCTTATGGGATTTTTTGTTGTTTTTTCCCCCCGGAGCTGAGGACCGAACCCAGGGCCTTGTGCTTGCTAGGCAAGCGCTCTACTACTGAGTTAATCCCCAACCCTGTTATGGTTTTTTTTTGTTGTTTGAGACTGGATTTCATTTATCCCAGCCTGGAACTCATTATGTAACTCGCTAAGACTGACCTTGAACCTAACCCACCTGCCTCTACCTCCCAAGTGCTGGGACCACAAGTGTTTGCACACTTTTTTTTTTTTAAACAATTTATTTTTATTTTATGTATATAGGTTTTTTGTTTTTTTTTTAACCTGCATGTATGTTTGCATAGTACCTGTGGAAGCCAAAAAGGGTGTTAAATCCCCTGGAACTGGTGTTATAGACAGTTGTGAGCTGCTATGTGGTTGCTGGGAATCAAACCCAGGTCTTCTAAAAAAGCTGCCAATATTCTTTCTTTTTTTTTTTCTTTTTAATAGGTTTTTCAAGAAAGGTTTTTCTCTCTGTGTCACAGCCCTAGCTGTCCTGGAACTTGCTTTGTAGACCAGGCTGTCCTCAAACTCACAGAGATCCACCTGCCTCTGTCTCCTGAGTGCTGGGATTAAAAAGCGTGCACCACCACATTCACCCAGCCTAACTACTAAGCCATATTCAGCCTCCTCTAGTTCACACTTTTAAGCCCCCAAGACATAAACACCCTAAAGTGTGTGAACTTTGCTGGCACAGAAAATAGTTTCTTTCAGTCAGTACAGGGTCATTTGGGCAAAGGTTCATCTCGTCTGAAGACGGACTCTGTTCTGTTCACCATTTCTCCAGTGTCGCCGAGCAGATACTTCAGATCGGCATGCTTTCCAAATCAGTTATGCCAAAAGTCAGGGGCATTTATGTATCATTTTAGATTCTGCTCAGCTTATCATTTGAGAAAATTTTATCTAATACTCACCCTGCTCCAGGAATTTGGTTACTTATCCCATGGTGACCAAGCTCATCTAATTCTCTTTGTTAGCTCACATTCACCTTTGGCCTCATGACCTTTTCCCTAGTGTGCACTGCCATACCAGACTTTGCAGATAGTTCTTCCCAACTAGGTCTGAAGCGTTTGTTTTATGTAGGCCTGTAACTGTGTCACACTTACCTCTTCTGCTCAAGTCAAAGGTCTTCAAAGAACCCACTTGGCACCAAGACTTGGCCCTCGTTCGCAGAGAAGGGTTTTTGTTGACACCTAGACACCAGGGCCTCAGCTGGAAATGCCTCCTGATTATTCTGGAAGCCTTTTAGGCGAGTAGTGGCTGCCACGGCCCCGGGGATAGGCCCTTGTTTTCTGCATTTACGCTGCAAACATTGCACAAGGAACCAAGGGCAGTGGAAGGGCACACCAGCATTTTAGGCTGCAATTGCTAAAGAGTGTGAGCTGATCCCCCTAAAAGACCTGGTCGTGACTGGTCTGAGGGGGTTCCTCTTCCCCGGAAGCCCTGGGACTTGCTAGTTACAGAGAACAAGAGAAATGAACAGCTGAAAAGTCAAGTCAGGGAAAATGGAAGGACGGGCTGATGAAGCACCAGGAGAGTTCTGCTCAGCTCTGCCCACTGTCATCTTCCAGGACATCAGAGTCACGGTGCAGATCCATCTCCACTGTCAACTCCTTGGTGGCCTTGAGGCCTAGCCCAGGGCAGTCCTCTCAGAATGGACATGACAAGCATTATCAGGAAATGACAGTGTTACCAGGTTTGGCAAATCAAGGGAAACCTTTACTTCTAACTAAAGACGTTCTGAACGGCACCTCCAGGCAGGTGAGCTTCCTTCAAAATCAGGTGGACATCTTTTGCGGATACTGGAAAGATGGGGAACATTCTGGGCCCCGCGGCAGGTGCCAGTCTCGAAGACCATGTGTGTCCTGTGCCCTCGAGACTGCTTGTCTTCTGCCTGAAAATGGAAGTTGATGATAATGGCAATCCAAGTGTTTCCTGAGCCTGTGGGTACAGAATATAGCACACTGAGCTGATGAGATTATATTCACATTTGTACAGAAGTCTAAAGCCAGGGATGGGAAGGACTGTGTGTCCTCTGAAGCTCCAGGGGAGTCTTCCCTTCTCACTCCTTGGTGTCCCTTGGCTTGTGGGCACCTCCTTTTACTCTTTCTTTCATGTATATGTATGGTGTGTGTGAATAAGGGTGCACATGTATGATTGGGAGTGCACGTGTGTGGGGTGGGACATGAGGTCCTCTCCACTTCACTGAGGCAGGGTCTCTTACAGAACCCAGAGCCTGCCAATTCCAATTACTATAGCTAGCCAGCTTGCTCTTGGAATCTGCTCTCTGCATACAGAGGGCTGGATTTGTGTTCTAGAGATCTCGACGCCAGGCCTTACACCTAGATTCAATTTTATTCACTGATGTGTAACCCGCACCCTCTGCCCTCATCCTTATGTGGCCTTCTCCCTTCATGGTGACATAAGGCCCATTCTAACGTGACCTCATCCTGGCATCTTTTCCTTTTTCTTTTTTCTCTGTGTAGCTCTGACTGTCCTGGATCTTGCTCTGTGGACCAGGCTGGCCTCAAACTCACAGAGATCCACCTGCCTCTGCCTCCGAGTGCTGGGATTAAAAGTGTTCGCCACCAACTCCCAGAGGCATCTGTTTGAGATAGGATCTCATGTGGTCCACTGACCTCCAGCTTTCTGTTCAGCAAGAAATGACCTTGAACTCAATTCTCTGCCTCCCAAGTGCTAAGTTGACAAGCGTGTGTAAGAACACCTGGTTTATTTGATATTGGAGATGTATGTGTTTGCCTGTGTGTATGTCTGTGTACCATTCTGGGAGACCGGCTGCCACATTTTACCCCGGGGTACTCTTGAGTGAGGGATAAGAGATTTAGATAGGATAGAGTGGAGAAAAACAGAAACACAGGATAGCCTCAGGAGGGCCTGGATCCTTATCCACCGGCTCCTTCTGTCTCTTCTAAAGCGCTGTTTATAGGAGTGCCGAGGGATGGAGCAAAGACCTCCTCCTGATGTAGCAGGAATCTTAAAAAGTCTTATTAATAAAAACAAACCTGGAGCCAGGTATTGGGGTAAACTCTGGAAGACCAGAGAGGCAGAACAAGCCACAGCCACCTCACCTCGCTAATTCCTCAGCTGATCCCGTTTCCTCAGGCTGGAAGCCTCTGAGTCCTCATCCAGAATGAATCTCAGCTGAACTGCTGCTCAAAAGCCTAAAAGCTTAACCAGATCCTAGTTCCTGGTTTTCACACCTTTCTGCTTTCTGCCATTACTTCCTGGGATTAAAGGCTCACTTCCTGGGATTAAAGGCGTGTGTCACCATGCCTGGCTGTTTCCTGTGTGGCCCTGAACTCACAGAGATCCAGATGGATCTCTGCCTCCAGAAGGCTAGGATTAAAGGTGTGAATACCACCATTTTCTGGCCTTTATGTCTGTCTAGTGGCTGTTCTGTTCTCTGACCCCCAGATAAGTTTATTGGGGTGCACAATATATCAACCACACACTAGCTAAGCCAAGTGTAGACCCTTCTAATCACCTAGAAACCATGCACATGGTCAAGCAATCCTCTAATGCAGTTCTGGGTAAAGCAAGCTCAGACCTCACTAGGAAACCTTTGTGGGCCTCCACATATCATGAGCTTACCTGGTGCCCAAGGAAGCCAGAAGGACATCAGCTCCCCAGGAACTATAGTTGGAGATGTTTGTGAGCTACTGTGTGGATGCTGGGACCCAAACCCTGGTCCTCTGCAACAGCAACGAGAACTCTTAACTGAAGATCTCGCCTGTCAAAATTCACTTATTTTGTCTATGATGTGTTTGTGAATAATGGTGTACACACCATGGAGTAACAGAATTTTCCCAAGGGCCTGCCCTGAGGAAATTCCTCCCAGGGTCCTGAGGAAGAACCTACACCAGGCAGGGGGATATCTGAGGGGAAAGAATCTATGTACACCATGCTCTTTCATCCATTTACTCTATTTCTCTAAGACAAAATTCTATCTACACGGCTTCAGCTCCTCTCTCTTCCTACTGGGCCTGCCTGTCACAGTCCTGACTAAGTTCCTATGCTTTGACCTCATCTTTGTCCTCCATCTCCCTTCCTTGCTCCTTACCCCTACTCTGAGAAACTGCTATCTATCTTCTCTTCTGCCTGGCCACCCAGCTCTGCCTCTAGGAATCCTGCTCCAGTCTTTACTGTACCTGGTTATGCAAAAAACCCTATTGTCCCGAGTCAGTAGCTTTGGTAGTCTAGTCAGGGCTACTAGGCCTGAAGGAAGGGGACGGTCTGAGCTTCATTTGCACAAGAAACAAAGCTGTGCATCTACAGCCCACCTGTCTCCTAGGCCCTGCAGGGGTGTTAGTTACCTAGTGGGTCAGCAGTAGGTCTGAGCTGTTTATGCTGTTTGCCATAAGGCCTAGTCCTGTATGAACACACAAGAATTTCATAGCAGAAGACAGCTGATACATTAAAAACTAAATAACAGCCGGGCGGTGGTGGCGCACACCTTTAATCCCAGCACTCAGGAGGCAGAACCAGGTGGATCTCTGTGAATCTGAGGCCAGCCTGGTCTACAGAATGAGCTCCAGGACAGGCACCAAAACTACACAGAGAAACCCTGTCTCGGGGAAAAAAAAAAAAAAAAAAAACTAATTAACCCCAAATATTCCTTGATAAATGGCTTCCTCTAGAAAAATTCCTTGACTTTTCTAGGTATAGCTTTAATATATATAGGCATCTCTATAACATATTCTTGCAGCCCGCTGCAATGGAACCCGTGTGGAGGTCAGAGAGCTACTGTGGGATCAGTTCTCTCTCTTCACTGTGGGGTCCAGGAGCAGAACCATCAGCAGGCTGCCCCGGCAAGCCCTTTACCCACCAGGGCCCCTCTCTGCCCTATCCTTGATTTTGTTTTTGGTTTGGTATTTTGAGACAGGGTCTCTATGTAGCCCTGGCCATCCTGGAACTCCATACCAGCCTGGCTGTGAGCCACCATGCCGGGACTAATGTTTTGACAGTCCTTTGATTTCTTACTCTGTAGAGCAGACTAGTCTGGGCCTCTATGTAGCCCAGGGTGACCTTGAATTATCAATCCTGTGTCACCACATTCAAGTTATAGATTGTTTCCTTGGACATGCAGCGGCACACATTCCTAACTCAGACTGCCTTGGACCTGACTACTTGTAGCCAGTGTTGTTGCCAGCAAAGCTGAAAATAGCTTTCCCCTGGCCTTGTGCTTAAGAAGGTCTTTACTCCTGGCCTGCAAGGTCAAGGGAGAGGTGAAAAGTGTCAGTGTAGGGCTGGAGAGATGGCTCAGAGGTTAAGAGCACTGGCTGCTCTTCCAGAGGTCCTGAGTTCAATTCCCAACAACCACATAGTGGCTCACAGCTATCTGTAATGAGATCTGGTGCCCTCTTCTGGCTTGCAGGGATTTATGCAGGCAGAACATTATATACATAATAAATATATCTTTTAAAAAAGAAAGAAAAGTGTTAGTATAGAGTTTTACATTTGGCCTGTTTAATTGGGTTACATAAAAAAATATGCTTAGGATATTTTGTAATTAAAATTTATTTTGCAGGGCAGTGATGGTGCACACCTTTAATCCCAGTACTCGGGAGGCAGAGGCAGGCGGATCTCTGTGAGTTCAAGGGCCAGCCTGGTCTACAGAGCAAGCTCCAGGACAGGCACCAAAAGTACACAGAAACCCTGTCTCAAAAAAACAAAAAAAAAAGAGAAAAGTTAAAATTTCAGACCAAGGAATGGTGGCTCATGCCTTTAATCTCTGCACTCGGGAGCCAGAGCCAGGTGGATCTCCGTGAGTTCAAGGCCAGCCTGGTCTACAGAGTGAGATCCAGGACAGCCAGACTGTTACACAGACTACCCTGTCTTGGGGGGGGGAAATGGACCTGAAAGGTAGACTGAGGCAAAAATGGGGCATCCAGAATGTCCTGCCCCAGTGCTTGGTTATGCACTTTTGAGGTTTGGGAATTTAGCAAGCCTGTATTTGAAGTCATAGTTTAAGTGTGTCCACCCTGTGGTCCATGGGCTACAATAGCCAAGGACAGCCTAACACAACATTGTAAACTTAAAATAGGAGTTGGTTTTAGGTTGTTTTTGGTGGGGGGTTGTTTTTTTGTTGTTGTGGGGGTTGTTTGTTTGTTTTTGGTGACTTGATTGTACAGTACTTTGTTTCATTCATTCACTTATTTATTTACTTATTCATTTATTTTGGTTTGTTTGAGACATGGTTTCTCTGTATAGCCTTAGATGGATGGATAGATAGATAGATAATGCTTTATTGTACATTTAGTTTAATTTCAAATTTTATTTATGTCTCTGTGTGTGTGCCTCTGTGGGAGGGTTACAGTTAAAAATTTTTCAGTAGCTGTGGTTGGTCTTGGCTGTTGACCTCACCACAGTCAGTACAGTTCTTAAAGTGAACTTTGTAAGTGACAACATCATGTTGTCATATCAAAGGTTGGAAGTGGCCCTTAGACCAAGGGCCAGGTTGTATGTCTGTCTTGCCAGCGTTCACAAGGCTGGGGTGAGAGGATTGAGTTCCAAGCCTCAAAACTGAAACAAAATGTTTCAAGTCCTGCTGTATGCGTGAGCGGTGCCAGCCGCTGTGACAACCTGTGCCTGCCTCAGGAGTCCTGACTTCGCAGCCGCCCGCAGTGGAAGGAGAAGTTTCTGGCAAATTCAGCTTTGTGCCTCCGGCTGGGGAGCACCACACCTCTCCCCATACTAGTTCTGCTTTCTAGGGTGCAATGGCCTCTAAAGAGAGGGGACAAGGAGCGAGAGTCATGATGGTGATGTCCCACCCCTACGTCCAGTTGTCTGTCTCCATGCCCTCCACCTGCCTTAGGATGAGATGGGTCATTCAGGATTGAACACATGCTGTTAAATGTCTGTATGTCCACGTGCTAAAGGAAGCTCCAGAACCTTTGTCTCAGGAGGGCCAGTGGCATTGTCCTGGGTACTTGAGACAGCGCTTAACCTTGATCCTCCAGGAGACTAGAGAGATTATTTAGGGAATTTGAGATCTCTGAGAAGCAAGGAGAGCAGACTGAGGCTGTCCACGGGTACAGGACTCACCATCTACAACCTCACCGGAAACGGAATTCCCAAATCAAGTACTGTCTTGAGCCACCTTGCTAGCCCCTGCCTGAACTTTTTGTTGTTGTTTTTTGAGACAGGGTTTCTCTCTGTAGTCCTAGTGTCTTGGAACTTGTTCTGAAGAACAGGCTGGCCTCTGTCTCCTGAGTGCTGGGATCAAAGGGGTGTTCACCACCACACCAGGCTCCTGCCTGAACTTTTGTGTTGGTGGTGGTTTTTTGTTTGTTTATTTTACAAGACAGGGTTTCTCTGTGTAGCTTTGGCTGTTCTAGACCAGGCTGGCCTCGAACTCACAGAGATCCGCCTGGCTCAGCCTCCTGGGTATTGCGATTAAAAGCATGTGCCGCCATCACCCAGCCTGCCTGAACTTTTAAAACCTCCAATTCTGCAGCTCCCATAGACAGACTGAGGGCCAGGGGTGGCCTGGACTGAGCTCTTTTTGAGGATCCTCTCTGTTTTAAACTAGGAGTTGCAGTGATGAAGTTCAAGAACCCTCCAGTGAACTCCCTCAGCTTGGAGTTCCTGACAGAGTTTGTCATCAGCCTGGAGAAGCTAGAGAATGACAAGAGCTTCCGGGGTGTCATCCTCACTTCGGTAGGTGCCTGGTCAAACCACACACCCCCAGCCCTGACTGTGGTCAGAGTGGGAACCTGGAAAATCTGGAGCCTTCCATCATGGGGCAAATAGAGTCACCAGCAGCCCTAATGACTACTCGGGGCCTCTAGGTCCATTTCCTGGAGAGCACATTCCCAGGCTCGAACCAGGCCTGGACAATCCTCAGGAACCTGCGGAGCAGTCTCTGTGGGAACTTTTGTCTTCCCAGGAGCCCCCTGAGGTCATCTGGTCATTAGCAAATGTAGCCAGGGGCTCCCAGGGCACCTACCTCTTCCCCAGGAGCTGCTGGTGCCTGAGCTAGTCCAGCAGGATACATGCCTTGAGAGCATGCATTCTGCTCGCCTTTGGGCCATCTTAGGTCAGGCATCAGAGGGCAGATTCTGTTGCCCTCGAATTCTTGAGGGGAACCTGGGCATTGCCTGCGAGTGCCGGCAAATGCCAGGCTCAGCCTTGGTGAGGGCAGTGTCACTGAGGTCAGTAAATGGCCATGAGGGGAGGTTGTACAGTGGGAAAGGAAGTCTTCAGAGGTTTGGTCTCTGGCCAGGCTGAGCATCACATCCCCTGCCCTCCTCAGTGACAGGACACAAAGTCACATGTGGATCGAGTTCATTTCTGCCCCTTTGTTCTTGTTGTTTGGAGTTAGGTTCTTGTATCCCAGACTAGGCTCCAACTTGTTACATAGTCAAGGCCAGAGTGCCGCCGTGCCAGTCTGCGAGGTGCTGAGAACCAAGCCCAGGCCTTGGGAATGCCAGGCAAGCACTCTACCACCTGAGCTACATCTCCAGCGCCCAATAAATAATGATGTTGGGGGTTTTTCTTCCTTTCCTGGGGGTGATGCTGGAGATTGAACCCAGGGCCATCTGAATATTGGTCAAGTGTTCTGCCACTGAACGACTTCCCTCAGCCCTTTGGAATGACGGTGCCACTACGGTTTCAAGTATAGCTCCCTATGCTATGTGCCGCAGTGATCCAGAGACCACACTGGACCACTGGCCAATAGCACGTCAGCACCAGCACGTCAGCATCGTGTTCAGTAAAGGTGCAGGAAGCTGATAGTCATGAAGCCCCAAAGGGCCTGGAGAGAAGCGATCACTAACTACCCTTTGGAGTTTCAAAAGCTCAGGCAGGCACATGCTTTTAACCCCAACACCTGGTAGGCTGAGGCAGTTGGATCTTTGTGAGTTCAAGGCCAGCCTGGTCTACAGAGCAAGTTCCAGAACAGCCAAGGCTACACACAGAAACCTTGTCCTGTAAAACAAACAAACGAACAAAAAAACCACCACCAACACAAAAGTTCAGGCAGGAGCCTGGTGTGGTGGCGAGCACCCTTTGATCCCGGCACTCAGGAGACGGAGGCGAGCCTGGTCTTCAGACTGTATCTCATTCATTCTTAGGCTTATTATCATTGAAACTGTTAGTTTATTTATTCAGTTCGTGGTCTTGGCTGTCATCTCACAGCTAATGTCACTGCAGGCCACCCTTTAATGCATCTGGTTGTGGTGCTACATTAGTATTAATACGCAGTAGCCCACCAACTGCCACAATTACATTCACTCTTCTTATCCTGTTAACCGTCCTAGAATTCACTGTAGCCCTTATTCAAGCCTGTTTTTATCCTCCTAGTTAGTCTTTATTTATGTGAGAACACATAATGACGCACCAAACACACACATACCACATAGTTAACCCAAGCCCAATACCACTAACTAGGGCCCTGTCTGTCCTTCGTCTGACCTCTGGCCTAGTAATATGATTCCATTTAAACTCTTTTTACCAGAGGGCTGAAGAGATGGCTCTGAGGTTAAGAGCACCAACTGTTCTTCCAAAGGACCTGGGTTCAATTCCCAGCACCCACATGGTAGCACACAACTGTCTATAGCTCCAGTTCCAGGAGACCTGACTCCCTCACACAGACATACATGCAGGCAAAACACTAATGTTCATAAAAATAAATAAAAGTGAGACTCTTTTATCTAACTGTCCTTAGGTCTTATAGCAAATACTCTCACCGTCTATCGATGATGTGGCAACCAAGACCACCTATTCTGCACCCCTACTGTATAGAGAGGCCTTTATTACGGAATCATCTTATTACTATAACTGAAGTCTCCCCAACCCCACCCCACCTCTGCAGGGTTTTTCTGAACTTTTTTTTTTTTTTTTTTTTTGAGACAGGGATTCTCTGTATAGCCTTGGAGCCTTTCCTGGAACTTACTTTGTAGCCCAGGCTGGTCTCCAACTCACAGAGATCCTCCTGCCTCTGCCTCCTGAGTGCTGGGATTAAAGGCGTGCACCACCGCCGCCCGGCTTCTGAACTTTCTATCACTCCGCCTTGTGTCTGCACATGACCTAGGTGGATGCTGACCCCCTAGAGGAATTGTTCCACTTAACACACTTGAAGTCGCCTACTTACTACATCAGTCCTTCTAGCATCAGGGATTTCAATCCCATGAGCCCGCCATGGCTTAATAGAAGGAAAGCAAAGTCACATAAACCCGGCCTTCCTTAGTACAGTCATGTCAGGACTACACCATTTCCCGAGGCTCAACACTTCCAAACATCTGTTTGTTTGTTACTGACCAGCATTTGTGGTCTTTTTCTTTTTCTTTTCTTCTTTTTTTTTTTTTTTTATTTTTTTTTTAGTTTTTCGAGACAGGGTTTCTCTGTGTAGTTTTGGTGCCTGTCCTAGATCTCGCTCTGTAGACCAGGCTGGCTTTGAACTCACAGAGATCTGCCTGGCTATGCTTCCCAAGTGCTGGGATTAAATGTGTGCACCACCACCGCCCGGCTTGTCGTCATTTTCTTTGTAGTAATAATAGCTGGAGGCTTTGGAAACTGGTCAGTACCCTTAATAATCAGATATACCCTGATACGGCATTCCCCTGAAGTGTTTTACTGAATATTTTACTGAGAGGACCTTTGTTTGGAGGCAAAGACTTCTCAATTGTAAAGATTACAATGAAAGCTATCAGTGAGATGAATGATCCTATGGAGGATCCCACATTTCGTGTGGTCTAAGTGTCTGGATAGTCAGAGTAGTACTGTGGTATTCCTGAGAGCCCTAGAAAATGTTGAGGAAAACAATGTCATGTTTACTTCTACAAATATGATAAGAAATGAGCTTTTGATTATGTGTTGTCTAGAGTATACCCTGAAAAAGGTGGAAATTGGTGGACAGAACCAGTCGTAACAGTGAAGGCAGCTCGAATAGAGAAGACACAATGGACATGAGCAGGAAGGATGATATCAAGAGGAGAGTTGGGAGAGAACAATTCCAGTGAGGCCCCTGTCTTAGGGTTTCTACTGCTGTGAAGAGACACCACAGCCTTGGAATTGCTTATAAAAAGGAAAAACATTTAATGGGGTGTCTTACATTTTCACAGATGTAGTCCATTATCATTATGGTGTAACAGGGGGGGCGTGCAGGCAGACATGGTGCTGGAGAAGGAGCTGAGGTTCTACATCTTGACTTGCAGGCAACAGGAAGTGGTCTGAGATACTGGGTGTGGCTTGAGCATATATGAGACCTCAAAGCCCGGCTCCACAGTGACACACTTCCTCCAACAAGAACTCACCTAGTCCAGCAAAGGCACACCTCCGATAGTGCCATTCCCTATGAGCTTATGGGGGCCGATTACATTCAAACTTCCACAGCCCCCGACTATAATAGGAAAAGGAAACCTAGGGCTGATCGTATAGCAGCAATGTTTCCCCTGTGAAGTGTAGCAAGTCAGCTGAAACTCTAGTTCGAGGAGCAATAATTGTGGCTGAGGTGAAATAAACTTGAGCGTGTACATCAAGGCATACAGGGACTATGTGATGAGCTCAGAAGAGAAATCCTAAGAAACCAATAGATACCATAGCTCAAACTATTCCTGTATATCCGAATGGTTCTTTTTTTTGCCTGAATGATAAATAATGATATGGAAAATAATTCTGAAGCCTGGAAGGAATGAAAATTTAAACTTCTGATTGGCTAAAAAAAATCAGAAAAGATGTTGCTAGAAAATAGAGTCTCTCTCCCCCAGCAGAATCAAAGAAGATTATGTTTAAGTTTCGGGGAATTAAGAGTACAGAAATTCCTGCGGCAGGGGCTGGGGGGGAAGGGGAAAGGGCTGCTGTAATTAGGACAGATCACATGGATAATGGGGGTTGAGATTGTGTTGTGGCTGGTAGTTTTATATTGACCATGGTAGTAATAAAGTCAATTGCACCCAGGATAGATGAAGTGCCAGCTAAATGAAGGGAGGAAGTAGATCTTTGGATGTTCCTGTGTGGGCTGGACTTCCAGCTAATGGAGGGTAAACAGTTCAGCCGTTTCCTGCTCCTGCTTCCACTGTTGATGCCAGCAGGGGGAATGAAGGAGGAAGTCAAAAGCTTACGTTGCTTATTCGTGGGAATAAACATTAGACTCTTCCTACGTAGGCCTTATTCACAGACACTAGAGGTAAGAATTGGAATGTGACTTAGGAGGCCACTGTTCACCAACAAGTGTATTGTCTTCCCAGACCACAGAAATGGGCTGACTCAGAACCCTTCAAACCTATTTGGTATGACCAGTAGGAGTACTTTAGTTTATCTTTCTTCACACAAAATCTGCCTCTGGGTGCTAGAGAGGTGGCTCAGTGGTTAAGAGCACTGACTGCACCGGGCGGTGGTAGCGCACAACTTTAATCCCAGCACTCGGGAGGCAGAGCCAGGTGGATCTCTGTGAGTTCGAGGCCAGCCTGGTCTACAAAGCAAGATCCAGCACAGGCACCAAAACTACACAAAGAAATCCTGTCTTGAAAAACCAAAAAAATGCCGGGCGGTGGTGGCGCACGCCTTTAATCCCAGCACTCGGGAGGCAGAGGCAGGCGGATCTCTGTGAGTTCGAGGCCAG